TCAATAACGCGATTAGAACAAAGCACTTAAAGGCATACTATGCAGAAATTGTGTTTTTGTCAAACAGCGACCCCTATAGTCGCTGTGGAATACTTGCACTGTCGTAAATAGCTAGCTAGACATATGTGAAAATTATTGGACTGGTCTAATTATCAACAATGGATGAATGAACAGCATCGTAAAAAAATGGCATACTACAAGCAAGAACACATACAACAACATAGAACACAAACAAGTTTAGAAATAAGAGATTTATTTACTAGTCCATCAACAAGATCACCAGATCAGCATTGCGGTTGCATCCAGCTGCTTTTTAGCTCGCACCGTCTAGTGAAAGGCGAAAGCCCGACCGAGTGCGACTGTCACAACTCTGAAGGAAATAGTCAAAGGATTCAGTTGCGAGTAAACAGTAATTTATGGAGCACAATAGTAGATTTTTGTGTGGGTCAAAATGGAAGCAGGCAGAAGAAGACTCAGGCTCGGCAACGCAGGGACGCAGTGGGCAGACACAGATGCAGGAACAGGTAGAAATTCCTCCGGGAAAATCTCAGGAAATCACTGCATGGGTACAGGACTGGAATGCAGGAGAACACGGCGAGTAGAACCCTGGTAGCCTCAACAACCATCTGACAAAGACAGGACGAGGTAACAAACAATATATAGGACATCCTCATTCAAAACAGCTGGCGCTGATCAGCTCATCAGCCGCGCTGATCAGCCGCGCCCACTCACACAACATGGACACACATAGCGAGGGCGAATCAGGGACTCTTTTCCGGTTCCTTACGCGGTCAGATTCTCTTTTCCTTTTCCTAATCTCTTCCGACCGCATTTTCTTTCCTTTATTCATCGTCGAGTATCACGTCTGAAATGCGCGCAAGTGTCTTCGTGCTTCATATGTTGTTGTTGATGTGTGTGACGTCGTTGCCGTAAAGAATGTCGTGATTCTCGCGAAATTTGTCGGGGGCGCTCCTCTCAATCTTGCATTGCTGGTTTTTCCAGCGGCGTCCCCCCCCCAAGCTTTACTACCAGGATGATTCGCCCTACTATGAGTTTGTTTACCACCGAAATGACTTTGAAGCTGTTATATTAAGGTACAATTCTTGCATAGTGTGCCTTTAAGAATAAACTTACTTCATCAGCTGGATCCGTGCTCCTCGAAATGAAACTACCAGCACTTCTGAGGTAACTTTTTGGATGTTTTATGCAGCTGATGTGGGCGTTTTCATGGCTTGCCTCAACGTTTGCGTTTGAATAGCGCGCGCTCTCAGTGGGCGTGGCCACATTAACATGTCATACGCTATAATTAGCTGAAAGGAAAAAGACTGACATCTCTCTCTTTTCATACAGATTACATAAACTTAGAATAGTTGTTTTTTATATAAATTACTTCATTTAAAAGAAGAGAATTTCAGCTTCATAACGAAAAATCTTTCGTGCCTTTTTTGACAAGTATGTACTTAATTACAGTTAATCTTCGGACGCGTTTCAGAATGGACTTCACTGACAGAGAGAATGCAGAACTCGCATCAAGTTTTTTTTTCTTTATTTGGCAACAAGCAGAACACTTTGTTTCTATTGTGAGTATCCACAAAAAAAATAGACACTTAACAGGATCTAATGATGTACAGCACTTATATGTAAGATCAAAATCAACAGAGTAATTTGAGTCTCTTTTGCACTGATAAGAAAAAAAGATTGAGCCCGTTGTGCCGGTGCGATTGCCGACCCCAGGGGGTTAAGACCATGGGTTGATGTTACTTTCGCCCATCCACACACGCAAATCTGAAGAACATGTCCAACTGCTGGTTTCTCAAGAGTCTTGCTACTTTTTTCATTTGATGTCAAGAGACTATATACAAATAATTGGGTGCCGATACAATATGTATTGTGATTTGTTTTTAACACCAGACTATGTGGAAAAGTTAAATCATACACTTATACAGACTGTACAGACTGTACATACTATTATGAGGTTTAAAATACCTTTTGTAAAGCTGCAATTTAATTTTAATAAATATTGATTATGGAATAAGAAAAATCTATTTTAAAGCGGTAAACAAAAAAATTGCGATTTTATGCTGGTCAAATGCACCCGGGTGCCGCATGATTAACATCGAACAACATCAGTATCACACGTGCACGCAGAACGCACATGTAGGAAACCTTGTGAATTACTGCCGTTTCACACCGCAAGCGTGAGCAGCGCGTTTTTTTTTTTTTTTTCGGCATGCATGTTAATCAATGAGTGCATTCACACCGGGAGCAGCGCGTGAGCACCCACATAGCAAATGTTTTCTGGCCCAGCTCCGGGCCACACAATCACTTTTCCCTCGGCCCAAGTACCGCAAAGAATGACGGTACTGAAGTGGCCCAGAACTGGATTAAAGACAAGGGTCACACATGGGCCATAACCGGCCCGAATCTCAGCCAGTTAATCACCCTTAACTGGCCCTGAAGTGGCCCAGAACTGGATTAAAGACAAGGGTCACACATGGGCCATAACTGGCCCGAATCTCAGCCAGTTAACCCTTAACTGGCCCTGAAGTGGCCCAGAACTGGATTAAGGACAAGAGTCACACATGGGCCATAACTGGCCCTGAATAGGACCAAAACAGGTTTTATTTTTGGTACCAAGTCTCAGCCATAAGTTAACCTTATCAACACCAGAAACCCCAAAACTGAGCCATAACTCAGCCTAATCTTACCAAACCATATGAACAAATAAGTCACAGGAAAATTAAATTCTGAAAATTGCTTTATTTAACAATAATGTACACGCCAAAAATACATTTTTAAATTACATCTAGAATTGTGTAACTGTGTGAAGGCTATTTTAGTACATTCAAAGCTTAACATCTTATTAGCACCTCAAAAAAGTGCATTTAATTTCAAAATGTTCTTGTCTGTCTTTAACAGTTACTTATTGTAGTAATGCACAAGCCAAAACATTTAATAATAATGAAAATTCACATCTAGAATTGTGTAACTGTGTGAAGGCTATTTTTTTTTTGTACATTCAAAGCGCAACATCCTATTACCTCAAAGTGCATTTAATTTCAAAATGTTCTGGTCTGTCTTAAAGGAACACTCCACCGTTTTTTCATATTAAACTATGTTATTCCCTTAACTAAGACGAGTTGATACATACCTCTCTCGTCTCAGTGTGGCACTCAATCGCTCTGACGCGCGGCAACATTTTGATAGCACTTAGCTTAGCCCAGTTCATTCATTAGGATCCAAACAGAGATGAAGTTAGAAGCGACCAAACACCTCCACGTTTTCCCTATTTAAATACAGTTACACGACCAAGTATGGTGAAACAAAATAAAACATGGCGCTTTTCTAAGCGGGTAAAATGGATAATAATGTATGGCGGAATAGCACTTGAACCCGGCGCAGTAATATAACTATATCATCGGGAGAGGATTAAGAGTGATGATATTACTGCACCGAGTTGAAGTGCTATCAAGTGCTATTCTGCCATACATTATAGTTATCCATTATATGTTATAAGGCAATAACATAGTTTAATGGTCTGTTTAATATATTAATGGTCTGTTTAATAAAAAATAAAAAAAAAGTTTAATATGAAAAAACGGTGGAGTGTTCCTTTAAACAGTAGCTTACTTATTGTAGTAATATTGTAGTAATACAGCTAGAGTTGTGTGAACACTATTTTAGTTGCCTGAACAGCCAAGTATACAACATTTTCCAATTCTAACTAAATTAATCTATGAATGAATCTAGCACTGAAATGTAACCATATTATAATGTAATTTTACTCTCAACAAACATAGAGCAAATTAAAACAATTACTTAAAAACAAATTTACACATCAGAATTTGTGTATGTGTGAGGGAGAAAAAAATAGTTCTCAGGAAGTGAAGTACAGCTCTGCAGCCCCTCTTTTCTCCTCAAGCGCTCTCTCCTTCCTCCATCTCTATCAGGAGCAAGCTGAAGCCATCTTGTATAGTTGCTTCTATCTCCTGATCGGGAGCATGTTGTGTCAGACGATTTTTTTCTCACAGCAGCTAAAAGACAAAATATTAAATTAATACAAAATTAATAAATACATATACAAACATTAATCCACCTGTAAATAAATGTAGGTAACAAAATAAAATAAGGTTGCTTTGGTTACATTTTATACAGGAAATGGTTGCTTATAATGTGGCACTATTGAATGACTGTCAAAATACTGTTGTCAAACTCACAACAGTATGACAACAGTATTTTGACAAACAAAACCTTTTTAGCAAACAAAAACCTTAAAAATGTTTAGATATGAAAACTGTGGTGTAAACACATGCTTATCTGTGAATTAACTTTTAATTTATTAACTGTTAAAATAAAACGGCAATTATCCACTAAAGGAATAGTTCAACCAAAAATTTAAATTCTGTCAACATTTCCTCACCTCCACTTGTACGATGCCTGTCTGAGTTTCTTCCTTCTGTTGAACACAGCAGAAATTAAAAAAATAAATGTTTAATCTGTAGAGAACCACTTTCCAATTTAATGTTACATTCCAGTTACCTGTCTGGTCACCAACATTCCTCAAAATGTGTTCTTTGTGTTCATCAAAAGAAACCAACTCATCCAATCTTAAGAGAAAATGATGAGTACATTTTCAGTTTTGTTTGAACTTCCTTTAAAAAACAAGAACAGACATACACACACACACATAAAATAGCAGACATATCCTGATTATCAAATCACAGATTAGATTTAGATATAATTAAATCTGATTATACAACCATTGAATCACTTTGAGCTTTAAAAGTCAATTACTGTTGTTTGTTGCTGATTTCGCTGTGATTTTTCCTATCATTTTAACAGCATTACATTACATCCCGCAGGCCGGTCTATCGCACCGGTCGCGTCAGGTCAAACTCAATGAAAAATCAGAAATTGGAATCGGCCTAGAAATTTGTAATTGGTGCAGTGTTATGTTTATCTCTGGATATAGGCTTAATGTGTGTCATTGTTCTCTACAGGTTGAGTGATTGTGGTGTCACAGATGAAGGTTGTGGTGCTCTGGCTTCAGCTCTGAGATCAAAGCCCTCACACCTGAGAGAACTGGATCTGTCTGGGAATAAACTCGGAAACTCAGGAGTCAAGCAGCTTTCTGATCTACTGGCAAATCCTCACAGTAAACTGGAGGAACTGAGGTAAGATCATCTCTACCATAAAGACTCTGAGTGAATGAAATAGTTTATACAATATATGTTTGGCATTGGCCCCATCCGGTGGTTCAGCGACAGATTCCTGCTTGAACCGTCAGATCCTGCCAGCGGTACAAGGCAGTGGTGAGGAGTCTCCCTGAAGAGGAACATTTACATCTTACTATATTTTTATCCCACAAAAGACAGTAAATCTAACAGTTTAATTAACCAGACGAACTACAAACCAGACAACAGATGCAGGATACAGTGAAGAGGGTTTTTAAAGCACAAATGTTTGCTGTAAATCAACTTGCCTTGTAATGCTTGTGCAAACAGACCTTTTGCAAGAGCGTGAGCATTGCCTCAAAATGTGTGTGTGCAGCTGAAAATAGGGAAGTGGTGTGTGTTTCACCTGAATCAGCGCTGTCATCATATCAGATTTATCACTACATGATTGTCATGGCCGAAATAACACACAATAACAATATATCACCATAACTATAGAAATCCTAAAAAGAAAAATAATGTTATCAGTCAAATTCATCTTTACTCTGTTTATTTTGTTATTTTTGAAAAAGAAGAATCACTCCATCACATACAAAAGGATCAATTACACTTAGTGCGACCAGTTTGAAATAATGGTGACACTTTATCACAAGTTTACAGTAACACAGTTATCATTTTCAAACTATTAGTTTATAGTTAATGAATGTTATAGAATAGTATTTAAGCTGTAGTTAATGTATTAAGAGACAATATACAATTAATTGGGTGCCGATATGATATGTATTGCGATTTTTAAGAATTGCGATTCGATTTTGCAATGTATTGTGATTTGTTTTTAACACTAGACTATGGGGAAAAGTTCAATCATACACTTATACAGCCTTTACATGATGTATAAGATAAGTCATATTTACAAAAACAATTCATCACATCTTTCTGAGTTTCATTTCAAAAGCATCATACAGTACTACATTCTCTTAAATAAATTAAACAAATTCATCATACAGTACTACATTCTCTTGAATAAATTGAACAAATACATTTTTTAACAGTCACTTGTAGACACCTAGTGGAGAAACAATGTAATCGATAAATGCGTTATTTTAAGTGCCAAGTTTCTATCAAAAGCTGATTTACTCTATTTTGATCGCTACCGTAGACATCAGTGTTTAAATTTGAGCTTTAAACTTTTATCCCAGTACTTCTATGATAATTTAAACTATTGTATCACAGAAATATTGATACTATTATGAGCCAAGTAGCGCGAGGGCTTTTCAGTGCATTCAGTCCAGTGTTGCCAACTGTTTTCAAAGGAAAGTAGCTAACGCCTTCCCTAAAAGACACTAGATGACGTCATACGTCAATTAGCATATTCATGATGTCATCGCGTCATTCTTGCGTTCTGCCTTATGTTTTCTCTCTAAATTCATGCTCACATACTGTATTTTAATATAATATAAAATAGCCGATTGTGCAATAATAATTTTCTCATTTCCTTTTTTTTTTTTTGTCAGACAATAGAACGAGTAACTATGATATAGTGAATGACTAAACGTTTTTTATATGTGTAAAATTATCTGAATTGAGAGTTCGGGAACTGGATGAACTAAATCTCTGTTATAGTGAGTATTACAAGTAATAAGCACAAGAAAAGAAAGGAAATTAAAATTGTCTAACTAAATTCTTTAAATATAAAACAAAAGAGAAACAGATGAGTGATAAGTCAGTGAAAAACACTGCTGATTCACGTCTGTCTGCGGCCATGTGCTCATCAGTAGAATGAGCCGCTGCTCCTCTCAGCCATTCACTGAACAGGGCAGACGCAGCTAGAGAGAGTGACGGCAGGAGAAAGAGCTTGCGCTCGCACGACTGATAACATTTGGAGGTTACTGAGATTTGACCAAAGAGCCACTAGATTTGTCACTAGTGGCTTTTTTTAACCCTCTGGGGTCTAAGGTCTTTTTGGGGTCCTTGAGATGTTTTGACATGCCCTGACATTTGTGCTTTTTTCAGTTCCTTATAAACATATTAATGGCACAGGTGAAATTACACTCTATTTAGCACAAACATGGCTACCATAATTTATGAGCAACATGTATGTACATGTTTGTATTTTTGAGAGAATATTGTTTATGCATGGTTATTGAAAAAACTAAAAATTAAAGTTTCTGAAATAAGGCCACAAAACACATACTAAATATGTGTCCACAAGACTTTTGACTAATGGAAGTTGTCGCCTAGAGTTTTTGCTTCAAAATAATCTGAAAATCATCCTGCCTAATCATTCACATAACACAATAGATTCTTTTAAATTGTGAAAAAAAAATTTTGTTTGGCAAGGCAATATGCAAATGGGCGTGAACGGCCCAATCCCATTGTGAATAATTAGTTGCTTCACACCTGAGAAGACAAAGACCCTGCATAATAATGAGCCTTTTATTCAGGTGTGTAACACAAGAAAGAATGCAAGGACAATATATATATATATATATGTATATATATATATGTATATATATATATATATATATATACACATACATGCATACACACACACACACACACACACACACACATATATATATATATATATATATATATATATATATATATATATATATATACTTGGAAACAAATCCTGTTCAAATAGGTTATATGGGCCATTCTACAGAATTGGTTCAAAGTTAGAGTTGGAAACATCTTGAAAAGAAAACTGTCTTTTTCCATAAATGTCTTAGTAGGCCAATACATTTTATCATACATATTTCAAAGTTAAGGATTCATTATTTTGAAATAGCTTGCATTGGAACAAACACTACAACATCTTAGTTGATTAGTTTATTGACAAAACATACTATATATTTAACATATGAGCAGAAACTGCTAACAAAAGCTTATTTGATGTCTATTTTAGAGTAAAACTCTATAATCTATCCAAAACTAGTCAACGAAATGTTGTCTTTTATTTCGTCTGTAACAGTGCGCATCTCTGCATTCATTCATTCATTCTCACACACACACACACACACACACACACACACACACACAGAAACATGATTCAAATTTAAACAGTAGGGTATTTTTGTGTTTACAGACACTAACGTTATTATATATCGTGATTAGAACAAAGCACAAGAATAAAAAACGTACACAATTCTCAGCTCCTCGCTCCTCGAAGTGAAAATAAACCAGCACTGTCCCAGGATTATTCCTCACAGCCGTGCAAGACGACAGTACATTAATCTGACTAAATATAGTGCATTTAAGTGGGCGATTACACGTCTCAATGTGTTGCATCAGATAATTTGCGTTTGAATAGCGCGCGCTCTCCATGGGCGTGTCACATTACCAGAATAATGAGCTGAGAGAACGATAATTAGAACGGCTGACACCTCTCTTTTTATATAGATTACATAAACAGAGAATTTTTATTTTAGTTTTGAATTAGATAATTTAAAAGTACACACTGAAATGATTATAAAGATAAATAGCTCATGCCTGGGTGAATAGTATTCGCTGAGTTTTGTTTAAAAATAAAAATAAAAAATAATTTTTTTTGTTGCGATTTTAAGCATTACAGGGATTTTTCAAAACACATAAATAGAATGGAAAAAAAATAAAATAAAAAATAAATTAATTAATATAAAAAACTAATAATAACAGCCAACCCAAAATTACCTCTACCCCTTCCAAGCTAAATTTTGAATTCCCAAAGATAGCATATGTTCCGCATCTACACCTAAGTATCTTAGAAAGGGACCCCGGATCCTGTTGAATTTAAAGGGTTTGTCTCTTAGTGCAGTGGAAAAGGCTTCATTGGGAATAAAGCCCTTAACAATATTTATCCACTGAGCCACTGATGGGGTTATGTCAGTTATCCATTGTAACAAGATGCTTTTGCGGGCACAATGTAATAGTATTTGCAAGAGATGAACACCCTTAAAACCATGAGGGAGTTCCTCTGGCAGTCCCAGTAAACAGATATTAGGCCCTACAGTAGGTACTCAACCAGAATGTCTATTACTGCCGCGACTCGTGCCGCGGCAAATCCACCGCGGCAAAAATAAACTAGTCGCATTTCAAAGTCCTTCCCGAAATGACCGCCAGGTGGCGCAAAGGGGCATTTATCAAAACAGCCGCAATTGCCGCATTTTGAAACGGGCTAATGTCAATTAACAGTAAGGATGAAATAGTTGAGACTGATTGAATATGTAAAAAATAAAATAAAAATAAACAAACGAAACAGAATAGAACAAACCTTTAGAACAAAAAAATAATAATAATAAAAACATAAATAGTTTAGCCTATAGGCTAACAGATTCGGTTAAATTTAACGAAAGCAAAACGTAAAGTAAAAGTAGGCTACATTTAAACAGAATATAACAAACTTTTAGAGCAGAACATTTTATGAATCAAAAGTTAAAATAGGCCTCTCTCGCAATTAGGTGCAATGACGCTAAACTATTGAGGAATGAGAGGATTGAAGAGCACTTCTCTCGTGTGCGCGCACTGACTGCTGAAGTACCGAACTTCTGGGAAATTCTCAGTGAGAAAAGTTGTGGTCGAGTGATAGAACTTAGGTTTCAATAATTTAGATTTAGATTACACGGGTTCAAATCCTGAATAAACACGGTAGCCTATTTATAAAATACAATTCCATGCATTTCCATTTTACACAAAGGAACAAATATTATCCAACAGATTGACTGAATTTATATCAATCTGTATAATAATTCCAATCGTAATTTCAAAAGCAGAAAAAAAAACAAAAAAACTTCATGGGGTTCCATAGGCTACGTTTTTAAAAACATTGTGTAACAAGGTGTGATATGCTGGTGGGGGATTTCCCCCCTCCACAGTAATCAATGCTTAGCCTAATTCACCAATAGACCATATCAAATATATATATATATATATATATATATATATATATATATATATATATATATATATATATATATATATATATATATATATATATATTTAAAATATGCAACACGCAC